ACATATGCAAAAACGCCATTTGATGTCTTTCAGCTTCAACTTGTACGGCATCCAATGTCCATGCTTTTGAATCATTCTTAATGCTTTCAAATGTTTTGAAATAGTCTTCATCTTCAAACTTCACTGTCCCGGTGCGCCAGAGCATTCTTTTATCCTCAACATCAAAATCATTATTTTTGAAATGTCTAAACCAATCTCTGCATGTAATTTGTCATGTGCAAATTTTTTTTGAATAAAGTAGTGTAAAATTCGTCGCAAATACTTAAAAAAAAAGTTTATATTTCGGCAAAACAACATACATTGAATTTTATTTATAGTACTTCTTTGTAGGTGCATTACCATTTTAAACCCCACATTTGAATTTATGGTAGCTCTATCTGTTCACATATTCAACTTCCCATTATTAAATTTTATAATTGACCAAAACAAGGGAAAATGCACTAATAATAATTATTATATTTCTTTCTAATGTATATGTAATTTTAACCAGTGACTTCAGATTTTTATTTTTATTTTATTATAACAGCTCGTCACTGGAGCTACATATTGAACTGATGTTTTATGTGTTAAAAGTGATATATGCTAAATTTGAAGATAATGAGTTTGCTGATTTAGCAGATATAAAAATATTTTCTTGGTTTTCAACTTCAGCATCCTGTGATTCGCAAATGAAGCTACTTTGGACTAAGACAAACAGGGTGTCCAGAAATTGTGAGCAAAAATTTTTTAACAAAACTCATATTTAGTTACATAATCCCAAAGTAATTATTTTTGTTTTGTTTAATCTAATTTAAATCAAATTTGGTACACTTATTATTGGTAATAAACTAACACCTGTCAAAGAAAAATTGTTAAGATTTTAAAGTTCTGAAGGGCTTTTGTTGGACAAAAAATTGATCACAACTTTTTTGGTCTCTGTATTCAAAATATTAACAATTTAATGTTGCAAATCATTAAGAAGTCTTATGAAAATGTATATTTACATTTTCAATTTCCCAGAAAAAATTCATTTAAATCTGCCATGGTACTTTGCGGTTGGTTTTTTCAGATTTGAGTAAAATATAATTATTTTTGAATTTTACGATTTATATAAATCAGTTTAAAGATAATTTGGCATAATTGAATGCTATTAGAAATGTTAAATAACATAATATTCTTATATGTTGAAATTCTGTATTGTTTATACTGGAAAATAGTAAAATAGTAAGTAAACTTTAGTTGGTTTTAAGGCTGCCTTGAATAGGGTTGCCAGATTTCGGGAAAAAAAATCGGGACGCTAGGTCGTTTTCCGGGGTTCTCCAAATTTGGAGCATTGTAATGTTTTAAAAACTCAACCCATTTTTTATCTGCTCTTAGAGTTTTGAACTCTTTATTTGTTGAGGATAAAAATTTTTATAACAGAACAAATTCTTCAAAAAGAACGTCTACATCTATTCCATTTATATTAAAGCTACCCATAATATTCATAATATTTTCAAATGTAGCCACAACTTTTAATGCCATTGCACTTAAATTACTAAATTTATTTTCTGTATAATTAAACCATTTGTCTAGATATGTGATACATTTTTCAAAAAATATATCAGCCTCTTTTTTTTAAATATTAACAGTTATATCATCACTGCACTTTAGCAAAACTTGAGATGCTATAAATCCGTAGAACCTTTCTTCTCGTTTATTTTGTAGAGAATCTTTTAAATCAGACATTATAGAATACAAATCCAAAACTAGACAGTCTTCACTTTCTAAAATTTTAATTGCATTGTTTAAAGTATTACCAACATTAGTAATTATCCCTAAATATGCTTCTGCTAATTCATGTTGGAAAAATTGTTCAAGTACAACTGGTGGGTTATTTAAAGAACAAAAATAGGATTTGAGGGGTTGAAAATTTTTCAATAATCTTTCTACTGCTGATATTAAACTCAGCCAAGGAGTGGGCACATGCCTTAGCATTTTCAGACCATTCTACTTCGCACCATTCAAATAGTTCTTTTAAAGCCGTGACTTTATTTGTTGAAGAGCTAAATTCATTAAAGCATTTGATAATTATAACTTCTATATCAAATTTCAACGCCATTTGTCCTTTTTTTCCAGCATTATGTATTATGTGACAGATGCAACCAACTGGTATAATATTTTCATTATTTCTTTTGAGTTCTGTAAAAACACTGACTTTTCCCAAAATTGACAGATGCGTTATCTGCTGAAAACGCTGTTACGTTTTTAATATTGAGTCCATTTTTTTCTAAATTCTCAAGAAGAGTTATCGAAATGTGCTGTGATTTTTCGGTTTCTAAAGAAAAGAAACTTAAAAGTTTTGATTGTACACCATGACATTTGTTAAAATATCTTAATACAAGAGGAAAAGTTTTTATATTTCCTTTATTGGAGGCATCTGTTCCTATCGAAAATTGGTGGTCATTTTTTAAATCATTTAATAAACTGTTTTTTGAAAATATTGCTAAATTTTTTTCCACAATTTTTAAAGCTTTGGTGCGGCCACAAGAATATTTTTGGGCAATTTCTGAATCCGGGAATAATAATGGAAATAACTTTCCTGCGCAATCACTTGAGAGATAACTATGTGCATGCTTAATGGTATGGTAGACAAAAGCTGTTTCTGCTGCCGTCAAAAATGTATTTTTTTGTAAAAAACGAAGTTTTAGAAGTAGAAGGTGCTGATAGCGCATTTTTATGTTTTTCACTTTTTATATGTTTTTTAATGTCATTTTCGCCACCATGTGTTATTGAAAATTGAGTTCTACATACTGTATAATACCAATTTGTCAGTATTTCCTTCTCATATGTATGGATATTTCGCCTTCCATATTTCTCTGAATTTAGAAGTCCTAAGTAAGAATATATTTCTGTGTAATATAGTAGATACTGTATATTTCCATTAGTTACTCACCTTTTGATTTTAACTATTTTTACATGTTTTAGTCGATGCTGCTTTTCAAATTCGTCTGTATCCGTTTCATAAAAATCTGAATTATTATTTTCCATATTTCTAAACCACGACGCTACAAGTAACAGAGTCAACAATTGAAAATTGCCGCCTCAGTTCCTTTTCATTTGTAACCCGCAACACTTTGTCATTATATGTCTATTAGGAACGTTTCAATATTCAACCAACAGATGATATATTCTCGGCATGCGTGTTGGTTTGCAATCGTAAACTTCTAAAGCGGCATTTACACAGCACTCTTGGAGTAAAAGGAATTCTTATTATGCCTGGGGAAAATATACGCACATTCTTTTGTATTTCGGTTCGGTTGGTAAATCGGGATTTTATATGTGTCCCGCCTTGTGTCAAAGCGGGACGCGGGACATTCATCTAAAAATCGGGACCGTCCTGCCCAAATCGGGACGTCTGGCAACCCTAGCCCCAAAACATATGCTTTTTTGAAAAACAGTAAATTTTATCAACTTGAAACATGAAGACATTTTTATTTTCATAATTTTTTTATAAAACTGCAAATAAAGAAGTTATGATGAATTTTCTAATCAACAAGGACCATTAAGAAAATAATCTTTTTTTAAATTTTTTCTGTCAGGTGCAGTTTGTAACAAATGTATCAAATTTGAAAAAAAAAATTGTTTGACCGAAAAAAAGTTATGGCAAAATATTAATTTAAAAAAATTAACTAAAATACTGTTGTAGCAACTCATACCATTATTTTTATGGGTGGAATCGTCCCTTACATTTTTTGCTCACAGTTTCCTAACGCCCATTTCATCCAATCATCATATTTTGACCTCTAGACTGTTTGATAACATATATGTTCCTTTTTTTAAATACAATAGATTTCTTCCCTTATCTAAATCGTCTTAAATACCTTTGTTTGCCCCTGTACATACCATGGCATTTGTTTTGGTATGTTAATTTTATACCATTTTATATTGATTAGTGTCATGACCTCTCTAGGGCAACAAAATGATTTTCAACAATCGCCTTAAAAACAAAAGTCATATTATGACACAAGGTTGAAAAGGAATTTTATTGATGGAATAGATAAAGGGAAAAAAATTACATGCTGCCATTTAATATGACAAATTATCGAGTCAAGGAACAAGAATTCTTTATGTGAATAAAAAACAATTAGACACTACATACAAGGTGTAACTGTGAGTGGGTGTCATATTTATACAGAGGCATCCTTTGTCCATTTTAGAAACACATATCAATAATTTAATGTTTAAAATTCCATTGTAATAATTTTTTTAAAACATTTTTTAGTAATTTTCGTACCTCACCGCTGGACCATGCTAGTGTAACCTCAAATAACACCGCACTTTAGTTGCAGCGCATGCACAATTCCACACCATTCGCTGCGAGATACTTTTGTTGAGTGGGTGTTCGGAACACAAACAGTACTTAACAAGTAACGTAGCAAAAAACTCTTGCAGTAATCAATAATGATAAATGAAATACACAAAATAAATAGTCTATTGATGGCTTCTAGCGATGAAAAACATTCAAATTCATAGTTAGAAGTACCGTCCAAATGCGGAACAACAACTGATCCCCTTCGCTTCATCACCGTTGACTCGAACTATCTCCCTTCACTTGCACTGTATTGCCTACAATTCATGTATTTGTAGTACATGCATAGTATAGTGGCGACATGCACAAGTATTAAAGTGCATTTTAAAAAACTAATTATAACTCAACTCTTTATTTGATTTAAAAAAAATTATTTCAGATTTATATTCAGGGAAACACATACTATTTCCCCTAAAAAACTGACCCCCACTTAAAGTTACACCCTGTATATTATCTTTTAAAATAGCAAAATGGCAGAATATAATTTATATATGTCTTATATCCTTACGAACTACTAACTGAGTTTCCCCTAGGTAAAGTCTGTGGCTTATTTCCTGACCACAAATTAATTTGTATATATTCTGTTCATTAGTGCTTGTCCGAAATTCTTTTGCTAAGAGGCGGATTTTTTGTTGGTGTGTGTTGCATGTTTGTCCCTCCGGGTGGTTAGAATTTTGATATGGAGGAATACTACACGAGCTATGACACCGCCCTTTTGGCAGACAAAGTTGTCGCCCACTTGGCCTTCTTAACAATGAGCTGGCGCAACATGCTTGGTAGACCTACCATTTCGCTTGTCGCTACCAAAAACCTCTTAGGTAACGTCTATTTGGAAAAAGATTTTTTATTGCTTTCATTGATTTTTATTAAAATGCAGTGGTAGTTGTAGGTAGTTGCTTAGGATTTAATAAGCACTTGTAAAGCCACAAGTTAGTTATAATCTAGTTGGGAATTTATAGCTTTATTGACATAAAATAAAATTTAATTTAATATGTCTAAATTTATGTTTGCGAAAATGTGGAGGATTCTATAGAATGTCTAAATTTATTATTGTTATACATATTATCGAACTTTAACTTTCTTAAAAATAATCATTTTTAATCAAAAATGAAGTGTTTAACTATGATATAATATAGGGTGTTTCATCAAAATTGGGTGAGAGATTATTAAAGTCTAAATAGGTAGATTAAGACACATATGTCTGCTTCAAATGTTTGCAGGATGTCAAAGTTGAATATGTTTGGAAGTGGCAATATTTTGAACACCATTTTACCAATCTTGTTGAAAATTTCAGCAATTGTGTATTTTACAGTGAAAATTTAAACAGTTTTATTTATTTGTGCTCATTGATAGAGGGCACTAGTTACACTTTACTTGAGGAGCAAATGTGTTCTAAACTTATTTGGTTTTCACAATTCAATAATTCGGATTAAAAACAATGACTAATTAGTAAAAATGGCATGTCAGTGGAAAGTAAAAACTCAGTTGTTTTGGGCATAAAAATCACTTTTTATGTCTGTATGTTACTCAGCAGTTCATTTTAAATTTCATTTTCAGGATATAATAAGAAGGGTTTACTTACATTTCCAAAACTGATACCGCAGATTGACTGAAAAAGACTAATTCTAAATATGTGTTAGATAACCTAAACATTCAGAAAAGGAAAAAATTATTTAAGCTGCTAAAAATGAAGAACTTTAATAATAAAGTAACAGTTTTAGTATGTCATTTTTTCACTTGCATTTTGAATTCATGTGTCCCTAAATTAATTTGCATCTTATTTAAAATCTATGTCTAATTCATGTTGCACCCTCTAAGGTTGTTGATAATTTATAAATTGAATTCGAAAAGTAGGTAACAGAATTACTGTATTTAACCATACAATGCTATGTAATATAAGCTTCCTACTTCACCAGAAAGAAAAATTTCAACCAATCATTAGTGTGTACAGGAAATATGAAATAAGTAGTTGAATGGTCAATACAGGGTGTCCCGCATAAGAATCGACACAAGGCAGGTGCATGTAGGGGTGTCCAAAATATTGTAATTTAACCAAACTTACATATATACAAAGCTGCACCCTTGAGGAGTTAGTAGCCCCCAAAGTGGGCCCTTAAATTTCGTAAAAAATTTATATCTGCAACACTACGGCAGAAGAACCAAATTTGGTACATGATTTAGGTTTATTACTGCTCTTTGACTATGATTTAAGGTGGCCATATCCCTGGCCGAGAAATGGTGAAATTTCTGGCATTTTTAGGTACTGAAATCTTGAAAATTAAAACGCGTAGAACAAAAGTAAGCACAAAAATAAAATCCTTGATGTTTTGTTTATTCAATGTTACCATTTAAATTTACCCAAATAAAATAATAACTAAAAAAAAGCGTTTGTAAAACATGCGTTTTCTGTTATCCTTTTATTATTTATTTTAAGAATTATTTTCACGTACTTATAAATAAAAGTAAACAATTTTATATGTAGGACTAAGCAAGTAAATGTTATAAGAATATTTACATGTGGAGTTATGTCTAAAAAAGTTAGTATTTTCGTAGATTTCAGTACCTAAAACCTTGATGGTTTGATCGTTTTTTGCACCTGTTTATTCGTTTTACTGTGGCGTCTTTGAAAATACTCAGGTGGCATGACATAACATTCCTATTATTTAATAAGCTTTAGATTATTCAGTTATTAAATGTTTGAAATTATTTGTCTTTGCGGAAAACACTATTTAAAGAATATGGGGCCCTTAAAGTTAATTTTAGCACTACAAGGTGTTCATTGGGGATGACTCACCCCTAAAATTGTACTGAACTTTTTTTTCATTGACCGAATTGAAAAATAATAATATTAATTCACAGCAGAATTTAATTTTAAAAATTTTTTTACTCTTGTTAAATTTTAAAAAACTTTATGCTTTTCAGGAAAAACCGTATTAACTGAAATTTTTCAATTTAATTTTAAAAGTGTTCATTGGAAAATAATCAAAAAGTCAGTAGTAGGTAATGAATTTATCTTTCAAACTTGTCAGTTAGTAATAAAATTATTTTATTTCAATAATTGCCTCTGATTGTTGTTGAAAAAATATCAGTTACCTGTTATTTTTATTATTTATTTGTGTTTTTTACTTAATGCAATTTTCTCTTATTTAATTAGGAGAGAAGTGAAGTAAAATTTATTTGGCCAATTGTCAAATTTGAAAGATAAAGCCTACTACTGACTTTTTAATTATTTTTTAATGAACACTGTTAAAATCTTGTGTCAGTTAATATGGTTTTTCTTGAAAACCATAAAGTTTTTTAAAATTTAACAATTTGGTCAATGAAAAAAAAGTTCGGTACAATTTTAGGGGTGAGTCATCCCCAATGAACACCTTGTAGTCCTTCAATTAACTTTAGATCACAGTCAAAGAAGACCAGTAATAAACCTAAATCATGTACCAAATTTGGTTCTTCTGCGGTAAAGTGTTGCAGATACTTATTTTTTTCGAAATTTAGGGGCTAATAACTCCTCAGGGGGTCAACTTTGTATATAGGTAAGTTTGGTTAAATTACAATAGTTTGGACACCCCTACATGCACCTGCCCTGTATCGGTTCTTATGCGGGACTCCTTGTATATCTATATATTTTTATTCACAGATGCTATTTGACAAAGATTGTTTCCTATGGACAAATATAATTTGTGTACTATCTGTAAAATACATTTTTACAATATTAGATTATTGTAATGTTGATGTAATATTGTTTCTCAGAATATTGTAATGATGCCTAAAATACTGATAAAACCAATAATATGAATTGCTTTTTATAAATAAATAAATCTGGCAAAAATCATATTTCTGTAAAAATTTATTTTTATAGCAGGATATTTTTTAAATATATTTTATGCAATCTTTTAGAAATTAAAAACTGTACATTACGTTTTTATATTTATGTATTTATATGTTTATTTAAACCATTTTAGTAAAACAATATACTTCCAGAATGGAACCATTTTTGGTTTCTTAATTTTAGACATATTGATTAATTTAGACTTATAAGGGTTTTTATCTTTTAAAACACAAGAAGTTGATAAAATGATTCTAAAACTCAGAAGGTGTTAGAATTGTGGAAGATTCTTTGGTTAAACAACTGACCAACAAATAAAAAAGGAACCAATAGTTATTCTTTTAATAAAAATGACATTTAAAATTATACTCAAGATAAACACTTTTACTTTGCATAAATTAAATCAAAGTTAAATAACAGATTTGCGAGTTAAATGGTTAACATAAAGTGAATCAAATGGAAATCAAAATCTGAAATTAATTATCAGCTTAATTGATGAAATAATTTCTGAAATATTGCCAGAATTTTTTTTATAATTTGGACACCTTTTAGACTGAAAAGAAGCACCATTTAATTTAAGCCTCTTGCCTAAATCACTCTCAGGAAACCCATTAGATTGTGTTCTATTCCTTATTAATCAAACACCCTGTATTTAATAGACACAACCCTTGTACTATATAAATATATTTCAAATTATTATTATTATCGAAGAAAACATTTTTATAAAACACTGTTTTTTATATAACCAATTAAAAGTAAATTTGTTAGAATAAACCCCAACAGAATCATATCTAATATGTGGAATGTCAGTGACAATTAGTTTAAAATATTTATAATTATTAATTTATCCACTAACAGTAAAAATGTACTAAGATGAAATTTGACATTGATTTTGATCATTCAAAACTTTGGAAATAAATTTCATAAACTGTAATTAAAAATAAAGCCCCGATGTCAGAAGTTATGTTACATATTGAAAAATAACTAGAAAATGTTCTTGTTTTTGATTATTTAAAAACTATATCATTTCTTAGTTTCAATTGCCTTGCAGTATTTTTTCATTGCTTGTTTTTCTTAATTTTTCAATTTCAAAGTTGCTTTTTAGGATCAAAATATTTTGTGCATGTCAAAAATATGTTTGTTAATATGCTTACGATTTTCTAGCAAAGGATTTATCAATAGATGTTCGAAATGTAATTTGCGACGTCTACTGATTCCTTGCCAACAGAATTTTGATGTGATTTGTATGATTGTAGAGGATGGAAAACTACCACTGGCTATGATTACAACCATGAAAAAGCTTAAATCAGGATACATAAATGGAACTCGAGTAACTCTAGGAAACTTAAATGAATTTTTAAGCACAAGCTGTATCACCAACCTAAGTTTCTTGGGATGCCATGAAGACGGATTACCAGATAGTAAGTAGTAAGATTAAACACAGATATAAATGTTTATATTATTTTTTTACTGCGTACAGAATTGAACCCTCAAGTTCATTCTTATTTGGAGGAATACTTGGTTAAATCTTTGTCTCACAAATCATTGTTATTGTTGACCTCTGGAATTCGACCCAGGACCAGAAATTTGAAGCGGAGAATGTCAGTGCGCGGAGCTGTTAAAAAAACCAGATCTATTAATGTTGACTGTAAGTATTTATTAACTGAAGGGATGAGATTTTTTGAAGGTGCAACATTTCTAACTTCTTTCTGAAATATTAAGTTGTTATAAATATGTTGCGTCTTAAAATATGTAGCATTTATATGTAGTATACTTTTCATCAGCAGATGATATTTTCATGCATCCACAACAATGGAGTAAGTATTATTTTATTATGCAAGTGTATGAATGTCTTATAGAAATAGTAGTAATTTAATTATCAGAAATGAATTGAAACAAGTCAAAAATGAACCGTCAAATTATCAGAAAGGATCAAATAAAAAGAATATTGTTTATTATAAAGACTAAATTAATAATTTATTTATTTACATATTGAAACAAATTTTAATATTTGTTAAACAAATATGAAAAAAAATAAGTAATGACAGTTTATAGATGTTTTAAAAACCAATTAACTTTGTCTTAATAAGTAGATTTTACAAATTATTGAATTTAACAAATTTTAATTTTGGCTAATAATTGATATAATTTTTACTAAATATTATAATTACTGGTGCAACTTCCGAAAAATTTTATGCATGACGCAAAATGATAACCATCTGTTACTGTGAAGTAAAGTATAGTGGATATGGATATGGATAAAAAAAGCCATTATAAATTAAAGAAAAAACTAATTGTGTACTTATACATCTAACTTCAAGTAACTGATGGCTCTAGCCTAGTATCTACCCACCCACGGTCCGTAAAAAAGACGGTCGAGTAATAGACAGAAATCATGGGCGTGGCTTATCTCATACTACATCACAAGATTTCTAACCTTTAGGATTCATGTTTGTTTACATGCGACTTTACTAGTAATTTTGCATTTTTCTAAGTATTTAAGTAAATTTTTCATAGTTGTTTGGGTATTTTGCAATAATTAGTTAGTTATTGATAATACTTTTTAATAAGTTGACGGTGTAGTGTTTAATATAAACTATTAATTTACCACGTAAAAATGCCAGGAATGAGGTAGGTATAGTGTTGCAATTGGCAATAATAATTTGTGCTAAACAAGACAATTTAAAAATTTAATTTCATGTGTTTCCTAAGGATAAAAAACTTAGAAAGATGTGGGTGGAACGGTGCAAGTGACGTGATTTGTTTAATCGTATAACTAGACATATTTGTAGTACACATTTTAAAGACTCGAACTTTGAATGCGATCTTCAAGCAGAGCTATTAAGTTTATCATCAATAAAAAGACTTAAAGAAAACCGGTTAAATGTTAAATTTCTAGTTTAACTGATTGTATTCACTTGAAAAAGACTAAATTTATTGTTATTGTTGTATAACAAATTGATGTGATTGTTAGAAAAGCGATTGGAAATTTTAAGTATCTATTGAAATGTGATTTTAATATTTTTATAAACTTGACAATTTTTCTTAAAATTAAATGTTATGTCAGAAGTTCTGCGAATAACTTTTCCTCTTCTTCCTTTCCTTTTATTTCTTCTTTTAACTCCGAACACCAAAAAAAACTCTTTCAAGGCTAAAAACTACTGTATAGTTTACTTGTAAAAACTTAGGAATTTTTTAATTCGGAACATCAACTATAAAAGGATAAATATGATAACTGTAGTTGGTACGTACAAAAATAAATTAAGTTCCAGCCTATTATAAAGATTTAAAGTACTTTGGTAAGTTATTTGAAATTTAACTAAAGACAAAAGCATATACAATAAGATCATATAAATTGTACACAGTTTTTATTTTTGAGGCAAGAGAATATTAAAATAGGTCTAAATTGTTTATATATTCACTTCCCCTCTTCATTTTATTAGAATTTATGGATATTAATAGATCTGTAATAAAATTAACACAAATTTTAGGTTAATTATGTAACCAAACGTCAAAAATGGTGACCGATTGTGATGTGTATTCAAGACAATTTTACATTTCATCCTTTTATTTCCAAATTCCAATGTAGAGGTTCAGTTTGTATATAAAGATAACATTTTATACTTAAATTACCTGCTAATTAACCATAATCATAACTGATTAAATTTATTATTTTATGTTAAAAGGAGCATGGTACAAGAAAAGTGACAATTTTAAATTTGCCTCTTATTTTCTTATGGGATATGCAATGAGTCAGAAAGACATGACGGTTGAACGAAGATAAACTGAGGAATTTGGTGACGTATTTGTTTTTATTGGCTGATTGGCTTATGCGGCGACCGTCTCTTTACGGACCGTGGTACCTACCAACCTACAATAAACTTGTGATATTTAGAAATATTGCACTTACCCTCAGTTTTCCTTTGCACAAGCTAGCTAAATTCAAAGACGATCATGATTTTAAAATAACATTTGAAATACTAGGACTGTGATTTATTTTTGAGGAATTTACAATAGATGGCGTAACTTATGCTAAAGGGTGGTCCAACCAAAATGCACGATGTTAATTGTAAATAAAACAAAAAGTTTTCAGAGAATTATCTTAATATTTTTTATTATGATAGAAGGTTCTATGACAACTATGTGTGAAACAAAATATCGGCCAAATGCTTGCCACGGCTTTGGTGGCATACCTCTATCCGATGGTCTATATTTTCAATGACTCTGAGACATAATTGAGGTTCAATGTCGTTAATGTGCCGAATTATCTCATCCTTTAGCTCTTGAATTGTTCTTGGCTTATTGACGTACACTTTTTCTTTTAAATATCCTCAAAGAAAGAAGTCCAACGATGTCAAATCACATGATCGTGGCGGCCAATTAACATCGCCACGACGTGAGATAACACGGCCATTGAATTTCTCGCGCAAAAGAGCCATTGTTTCGTTGGCTGTGTGGCAAGTGGCACCATCCTGTTGGAACCACATATCGTCCAGGTCCATATCCTCAATTTCTGGCCACAAGATGTTCGTTATCATCTCGCGATAGTGAACACCATTCACGGTAACTGCTTGGCCGACCTCATTTTCGAAGAAGTACGGCCCGATGACGCCGCCAGCCCATAAACCACACCAAACAGTCACTCTTTGTGTATGCATCTGCTTTTCAACAATCACTCGTGGATTCTCATTTGCCCAAATGCGGCAATTCTGCTTGTTAACGAATCCACTGAGGTGAAAGTGTGCCTCGTCGCTGAAGATGATTTTCTTTGTAAAGTCACCATTCACTTCTGTCTGTTCAACCAGCCATTTGGCGTATTGACGACGCTTGAAATGGTCAGTAGGCTTCAGCTCTTGAGTCAATTGAACCTTGTAAGCGTGTAAATTCAAATCTTTATTCAAAATTCGCATCAGTGATGTTCGTGGGATGTTCAATTGTTGGGCACGACGACGAGTCGAGGTTGATGGCTCTTCTGCCACACTATCGCGAACAACAGCAATGTTTTCCGCAGAACGAACTGAACGAGCATGCACAGGTGTTTTCACATTTTCTACACACCCGGTTTGCTGAAATTTGCGCACAATTCTCCTGATTGTGGACACATTTGGTCGATTATGCTGACCAAAAAAGTCACGAAGTGCACGAAATGCATTTTGATTTAAACGCCCATTTTCATAAAAGGCTTCAACAATCTTGACGCGCTGCTCAATTGTGTACCTCTCCATGGTTGAATTTGTCAAACACTGAAACAAAGAAATGTCAAATTAAGTTGGGCAAAAAACTTGACGTTAAGGTGTGACTCACAATTAACATCGTGCATTATGGTTGGACCACCCTTTATATCACATCAGACACTTCTGTAACTATATTCACATCAAAGCTCTGTCATTGGGTTTTACTTTTTATTATGTCATTTTGCTGCAGTGTAAACAACACATTTTTTTCTCAGCTCCGATGATGTCGAGTTACAAACCAACAACACACCATTTGCAGGAAGTTTTACTTTTCCTGTTTATTTCAAAGAAAAGTAAAGTCATCTAGTTTTGTTGGAAACTTACTAGGCTATTGATTATGTCTTAAATAGCAGGGTACTAAGGAACTACAACCTTGATGGGTTTTTATTGCATGCATCGTTCAAATGGTTATTCAGAAAGAAAAAACTGCGGAGTGCTATTAAATTAGAGGATGGAAATTGGAGATAATGTTCATGCCCACATGTTTAAATAAGTATTTCATTATTATTATTATTTTATTTTCTTAATACTCTGTTTGCCAGAGGGCACTTACGCGCTTACTCTGTCGTTTAAACAGTCTGAATAGAGTCGCCGGCGGGATTCCTTGTAATAGTGATAATATTTTGTGCTGAAATTTCCGCATCCGCGTTTCCGCCTATACAGTCCACCTACTACCCTACCACCTGTTCCGGAAGAGCGCCAGAGAGTCACCAAGGGGCCCCTTCGAAGAAGACGCTCTCCGGGAATACCAGGTAATCTCAACATTTTGTTTTTCCCGCGTTTTCCTTAACCGCACCCCACTCGCTAACAGATAGGGCTGAAAATGCAACCCTTACGGTTTTTGAGTATATCTCTAAAACGAAGCAAAATTTGAGGGTATTGCATAGGAAAAATTTGTAGATAATGAGATTTTCTATCGAAATACCTTATTTAAAAAATTTTAAAAATTTATTTACTGCAAAATATATTAAAAGCAATTTAACAAAAAAATGCAAAATTCAATTTTTTGTTTTTTTAACTTTTATGCAAATAACTTTTTTCTGAGCAGAGATAGGTATAGGCATTGCTTCATAGAAAAAGAAGTATATTAAATTTCCTTCAAAATAAAAGGTTGCAAAGTATTTTTGGATGAAAATTGACTTTTGTTTTTGACTGTATCGAAAAATGTCGCTCTTTATAAATAGTTCTGCCACTTGAAAAAATGAAACTGTCATACAAACATCTTAAATTGGATGTACAGGGTGCTCATAAATTAGAAAAACACGAAAATACTCAAGAGAGAAGTACCATTATTTATTATTTTACACATTTTTATAGAAGAAATCTGTTTATAACCTCAAATAATGTCTTAATACAAATCAAAATTTTAATTTTTGAGGTTGAAAGTAGCTATACATAATATAGTGTCAGAATTGAAATTTTGATTTTAAAATTTGTATTAGGCATTATTTGAGGTTATAAACAGATTTGTTTTATAAAAATGTTGTGTAAAATAATAAATAATGGTACTTCTCTCTTGAGTATTTCGTGTTTTTTTAATTTATGAGCATTTATGACAGTCTCATTTTTTCGATTGGCAGAACTTTTTATAAAGAGTAACATTTTTCGATAGTAAAAAAAAAGTTTCTCCTCTTGTCAACTCCATCCGTGGACCTATCCTCAATTTCAACCCTCTAATTTAATAGCACCCCACGGTCTTTTCATTTTTAATGCCCCTTCGAACAAGTCATGTGATGAAAATCCTTGAAAGTCTTATTTTCTTCCTTTTTTGCAAAATAGTGAAAATTAAAACGTATAAGGGTAAACGCGACGAAAATCGAAAAATTGCCCAAGTTTGAGCGGCCATATATCAGTCAATTTTCATCCAAAAATACTCTACAACCTCTTGTTTTGAAGGAAATTTTATCTACTTTTTTTTCTATGAAGCAATGCCTATACCTATCATTACTCAAAAAAACTAGAGGCAAAAAAGTAAAAAAAATCAAAATCGAATTTTTTGCTTTTTTTCAAATTGTTTATTAACGATTATTTTGCATAAAATTTTCCTTTTAAATTTTTTAAATAAGCTATTTCGATGGGAAATTCAATTCTCTAAATAATTTTTCCTATAAACTATATCGAAATTTTGCTTCGTTTTCGAGCCACAATTAAAAAACTGAAAGGGGTGCATTTTCACCACTATCTCCAATTTCCACCCTCTAATTTAATAGCACTCCTTGGTTTTTTTCATTCTAAATAACCATTTGAACGATTCATGCAATAAAAACCCATCAACGTTGTAGTTCCATACCATATGACATAATCAATAGCCTATACAGTGAACTTACTCCATTGATAAAAACATGTGAGTATTGGTTTCGACATTTTAGAAGTGTTGATTTCGATACAGTTGACAAAGAAGGCGCTGGTCTACCGGAAAAGTTCGAAGATGAGGAATTGGAAGTATTACTAGACCAAGTTTCATGTCAGAGACAATATGAACTTACTACATTGTTGAATGTTGAATGGACAACAATTTCCAAACATTTAAATGCATTCATGCATGAACAGTTGCTTCAACGGCAAAAGAGAAAGGGTTTTTTGCGTCATATCATCACTGGTGATGAAAGATGGATATGCCATGATAATCCTACACATAAACAATTGTAAGGTTTGCCTGGTCATGCATGCCGCAAGGCCGAATATTCATGGTTCAAAGCTTATGCTGTCTATTTGATGGGAGCTTAGTATTGCATGCTATGAGGTGCTTCAACTGAATTAAACCATCATGTTGAATGCTACTGAACACAATTGATGTGTCCGCAATTCGAACAAAGACATTATAAAGTTAAACATGGCAATACTCGACCACATGTTGCTCATGAAGTCAAAAAAACTTAGACACGCTGAAATGGGATGCTTTATCCCATCCTCCAGATATTGCTCCATCAGATTACAACTTGTTGCAATTCATGGAACATGGCCTGGTTAAGCAGTGTTTCCAATCTTACGCAGATACAAAAAATTGGTTCGATTGGCAGATAACATCAAAAGATGATAAGTTGTTCTTTCGACGGGAATCCCTGTGCTGCCATAAAGATGGGAAATAGTAGTGGCTAGAAATGGACAATACTTTGAAAAATAATAATTACGCTGTTCATCATAATAAAGCCCTGAATTTACAAGGAAATCCCTCAAATAATTCACAGTCTTAGTAAATTCATGTTCTTTCTGATGTATTCAATTTATTTCAATTTTTAAATCATGATTACATCATTCCTACACAATAGATCCTAGCTAAGGCTAAGGAAGTGAAAGGTAATTCTGTAAATGGCAGGGACCAGGTAAACACACTATGACATAACAATCTCAAAAAACATCGTACTGTAAATAATATTCATTTTAGCTATGTAATTAAGAGCAAAAATCTTGAAAATTACATAATTAATTATAATTTTAACAAATATGATATTTCTACAACAACATTTAGAGAGTTATATATAGAAAACATTAAAAAAACAATGGGGACAAATAATTATATTGTACTTAGTTGATATACAGCCTGTCCAAGATAAGGATGGGACAGCATTAGGATCTAGGAGACGATACGGGGTGGCTTAAATTAGAAAAAAGTTGTGTTTTTTTATACCTAACAATATGCTGTTTAGAATGTTTTAAAATTCCGGGTCGTTCCGGAGATATCCGTAAAAAATCGAAATTTTGCAGAATCGTTTTATTTATTCTTCTGGCTTTATTTGAAAACGAATTTTAAAATAAATTATATATTTACATTGCCACTTTTTTTGCTATATCCAATGACATCAGCATTTTTGCAAACCGACGTTTCGTCTTCGAGGGTAATCATCAGGTTATTTTTTTTAAATACGTCGCTGCTATTTTTATGACAAAATCTAGTCATTTTTAATTCTGAATTAGATGATATTACTATTGTAATTGCTTAAAAAGGTTTTTAGCTTGTTTAAGCTATTATTTAAAAATTTTCCTGAGTACGGTTCTGAACGCTTTCAAAATATCTATTGGAGGAAGTCATAACAGTATAAAAGTCAATATAGTACAAAATATCCAACTATTTTTTTACTACTATTAGCAATACTAATTAGGAATAATAAAACTTTTAATAAATTCGTATCATTTTTTTATTAGGTACAAAACTTTTTAAAATTTTTGATTAAAAAAATTGTTGAATATTTTGTGTTGTATTGACTTTTATACTGTTATGACTTCCTCCAATAGATATTTTGTAAGCTTTCAGATCCGTACTCAGGAAAAATTTTAAATAATAGCTAAAACAAGCTAAAAACCTTTTTAAATGATTACAATAATAATATCTAATTCAGAATTAAAAATGACTAGATTTTCTCATAAAAATAGCAGCGACGTATTTAAAAAAAATAACCTGATGATGTACCCTCGAAGAAGAAATGTCGGTTTGCAAAAATGCAAACGTCATTGGATAGAGCGAAAAAAGTGGAAATGTAAATATGCAATTTATTTTAAAATTCGTTTTCAAATAAAGCCAGAAAAATAAATAAACCAATATTGCAAAATTTCGTTTTTTTCCAGATATCTCCGGAACTACCCGGAATTTTAAAACTTTCTAAACGGCATTGTTAAGTATAAAAAAACACAACTTTTTTCTAATTTGAGCCATCCCGTATTTCTTACTGTTACCTAGATCCTAATGCTATCCCAGCCTTATCTTGGACACACTGTATACCAAAAATATCTATAATCTTATTCTTCACTAAGATTATAAGTTTAGGAAATAGTAATTTTTTGTAGATAGATTTTTTTTTTATTATTGAAGTTCCCTTAAATATCTTTAATTTTGCGAAATGAAGTGTATTTATTTTAACATGTATTCAGGAAACATCTACTCCCAAATTAACTACATTTTGAAAACATCTACTCAATCTCTGTCTGATCTGTTTGTGAAGATTACACATACATTACAGTAAATATAATTTTTTCCAAATCTACAGCAGAAACCCTGGGCATGGAAAGTAACACTAGCTTGGAGAGAAGGGGATCGCTTTTCTTTTCATCCAACTTACTTGATACCATTGATGGCGCTGGGTTCTCAAAAGACCTGAGGTCTCCTTCTCCTGAACATAAGATTCTTGCAGAGACGAAAAGGGAAGCTCCTAGACTTCGTACACAGTCCGATGCACAGTATGCAGATACTGAGGTAAGTTATGAATATTTTCAAATAGAGAATTATTTGTTTAATGTTTCATATTATGCTTTTCGTTCTTTATGATTACAGGTGGATGAATTATTTGCAATGCTTCGGGAATCGGAGTCTCTTGACGAACAGGGTGATATTTTACAATATCTAGTAGATTCTAAAGGTTTGGACTTTAACACGGGCATGTTAGAGTATGGCAAGGTAGTCACAGTTAGAGATTTGTTAAAAGGCCTATATGAAAAAGCTTGTCAGCAAAAAATGTGGGGCCTGGTTAGACACACTGCTGGGATGCTTGGCAAGAGGTTAGTGAGTTTTTAGTTGTAGATGACTAAAATACTATACAGTAACATCCATATCTGAGGATATCAAGTAATTTGTTTACAGTTGTTAATTTTGTTAGCCTACTTACAGTGTATTCCACGATTTTGATTTGGACTTATTAAAAAAGTGCCATTCTGCAGCTTGTTGGTTCATTGGCATGTTAAACTCGTAAACCCATGTCTTGTCTCCGGTTATGATACGTTGCATAAATGTAGAGTCTGAATTAGCTCATTCAAGCATGTCTTCAGCAACATGTTTACTATGCTCTTAAAAGAAAATTCAACTCTTTTGGAACCAGCCATGCTGCATCGTGTTTCATACCCAAAACTTCAACTAAAATGATGCGAACTGATTCGTGAGATATGTTTAGTTCATACGCCAGCTCTCTCAAACTGTAGTGATGGTTTGCAAGCACCTTTTCCTTCCTTTATCCATGTTTTCTTAAGGTGAAGACGACCAGAACGTGGCAAATCATCAACCACTTCTCAACTATGTTTGAATGCTTTCTACCATTCGTATATTTGAATTTTCGATAAAACTGAATTATCGTACATCTTTCCTAATATTTTCAATGATTCAGCACAAGAAATTCCATTGGTAGCACAAAATTTTAGGCAAACTCTTTGTTCTCGTATACATGGTGTCTCGCGGTGACGGCCCATTAGAATTATTTCAGAGACTACTTCGATTTGAATTTTGAAAATTTGGAATACCGGGTTTTTGGGCATGCCCTTCTCAACTAAAATAATGGTGTCCACTTCCGATTATACTAAGAGTCGCCATCAACTTGCTTATTTTAAGTGGAACACCCTATATATTATTACAATTTTGGATTCTACGTGTTATTTTAGGTGGAATTTTATGACGTTTTCCTATTCCTAAAATTAACCCTTTTTGAGATATTTAATTTTTTTCAAAAAAATGGAGAGAAACAGTGACTAGCTTCAAACCATGTGTATTTTATAGTAACAAAGATAAAGCACAATATTTATAGGGGGGATAGCTAGACCCCTAAGTTTCCCATCCATACTTTCAAGGTGGCTTAATTGCAGACAGGGTGCCAGAAATTTAATACCGAGTTTAGTTAACTTCAAACCTTCATAAGTCGCTTTTTTAAATGGAACACCCTGTATGTTTTTCTTTATTCTGATACACAATTTTATTCTCTTTCGAATGGTATCAGGGTTCCCTATGCCTATCTCTTCTAGTTTTTAAGTTATTTACTATTTCTTGTGTAATCACCTAAAATCATGTAATTTCTTGGGAGCATAGCTGTGGAATTTTTAGCAAAACTTCAAAACAAACAACTAAACTGTCACCAGTTATTTATTATTATTTATTCACAGACGTTGCAATGGGATTCTAAGCAGTTTTTAATGAGACATATCCCAATTTTCCACCAATGAGCAGAATAAAGTTTAAAGAATTCTAAAAAATCAACTTCATACATAGTAATACACAATTTTAATTATGTATATTGATAATAATTATGCACTAAGATAGAAAAAATGACAAAAAAGTCATAAGTGTTCAATATGACCCCCATTAACAGCTAAGCACTTGTGGATTCTAGAGGTAACACCATTAGTCACCGCTTTTGCTATTTCAGCTGCAGGCAATTCATGGAACGCTCTTCGTATTCGAGCAATCAAATTCTCTTTTGAAGCAACGGGTGTAGAATAAACCTTTTGCTTTATTACTCCCCAAACATAAAAATCTAATGGAGTGAGGTCGAGAGACCTCACTGGCCAATTCCACGGTCCTAGGCGTCTCATCCATATATCTTCAAACATTTCATTCAGCTTTTGATCTATTTGATTGTGACAGTGAGGTGGAGCCCCGTCTAATTGATACCAACACTTCCTTAGTTGGTCTAAAGGTATAGGTATAGGGAACCCTGATACCGTTTGAAAGAGAATAAAATTGTGTATCAGAATATAGAAAAACATACAGGGTGTTCCATTTAAAAAAACTGACTTATGAAGGTTTGAAGTTAACTAAACTCAACATTAAATTTCTAGCACTCTGTATGCAATTAAGTCACTTTGAAAGTATGGATGGAAAGCCTAGGGGTCTAGCTATCCCCCCTTTAAGTATTGTTGCTTTATCTTTCTTACTATAAAATACACGTGGTTTGAAGTTAGTCAGTCACCGTTTCTCTGAAATAATTGTAATAGGCCGTCACCGTGAGACACCCTGTATATGAGAGCACTACAGGCTTAGGGGCCCTCGACTTCAAGCTCTTTCACTCTACCACCTGTTCCGGTGTAACACCTCATTCTTCCACTTCCTAACGCCTATTTTTCTGAGATCTGATATCACTTCGTTCAACCACTTCGTTCTTGGTCACCCTCTATTTTTTCCTCCTCCCATAAGTATTCTTTTGACCCATCTTTCATCGGGCGTTTTTGTGACATGCCCCAACCATTTGGCTCTTTGCGCTTTCACCACCTGACCAATATCTGGTTTTCTGTACATCGCCTTTATTTCTTTATTTGTTCTTCTAAATTTGTTCTGCACTTTAATTCCTCCAAAAATCCTCCTCAATATTTTACATTCCCAAATCTCCAACTTGTTCTCCACCTTCTGTCAGTAGGCTTTCCAGATCTCCGGGTTTAACCCGGAGTCTTCGGGTTTTGATGGGTTTTGTTTGTTGCAGGAAAATCGTGATTTTTTTCGACATTTTCTTTTTTTTTTAGGCATGAATTATACAATGCCCTACCCCCGAAATCCATTTCCCCGGGTCACAAAGTATATATTTCCTGATGGTGTCCTTTTTTTTTTTTAGGCACCAATAATATAAAAAAAGTAGATGTTTCCTAAGGACGTCCTTTTTTTTAGAGATCGATTTATTCGAAAACAATTGAGATTTTGTTAAACCTTTTTTTTTATAGGCATCAATTTCTCCGGGTCTGTCATCAAATAGATAAATAGATCTGGTAACCCTATCTGTCAGTAACATCATCCATAATAAAAATCACGGAACATACTTTAGGTGGACTAACAAAATTAACATCTATAAACAAACTACTTGACAGATCCCGCTCAAACTTCACGTCAGGGTAGAGTACAGCGCTACCAACTGTCGATGGATGACGATGTCGAAAACATAAATTTAAATCTACTTTATGTGGAATTTTTAAATGACAAATTCCAGACACTTTTTTGACAGAATCTATTAATTTTTAAGGGTGGAGGATCTCGCAAAATCTGTAACCGATCTCCTTGTACGTCAGAAACAAATAACTGTAGGCATGCCACCCAATAACGAACACACGATCACTGCACCATTACCCGAAAGTGACTTGCGTCTTCTTATCCATGAAGCGTATGGCGAAGACGACAGTACCGCAATGTTGACTCAGGAGTTGCTTGTGTATCTTGCTATGTTTATTCGCACCGAGCCTCAGTTGTTCTTGGAAATGTTGAGACTGAGGGTGGGACTTATCATTCAGGTCATGGCCACAGAATTGTCTAGAACATTGATTTGTGACGGGGATGAGGCTTCAGAGCATTTACTTAATTTGAGCCCCTTTGAGATGAAAAATTTATTATATCACATTATAAGCGGGAAGGAGTTTGCTATCAGCAGTGGTAAGTTCATATCATTTACCACAGTTTTACGAGTTGAAATTTAAAATGTTCTTCATAGACCGCAAATTATTCTTACTCAATGGTCTAGTGAGTTTTATTTTGAGACGTAAACAGGAATCAATTCAAAAAATGGATGTAGTATTTTAATAATAATGCTCAAGTTTATATTGATATTGATATATTTTATTATTACATTATCGCCATCAGAACCCCAATAATTGCAGTAAATTCTCTTATGACTTTATGTTTGTTTATGAGAAACTGGTAGCAATCGTATGTTTTTCTGACTCTATGGCAACCGACGCACAGTGGTCAAAAGCTATAAATTCTCAATCTAAACCTATAGCTCAGAGTAATCGTCCTATTGCAGGAAAATTTTAGATTCCAGGGTTTTTTATACTCTAGAATCCACCGCAGTGACAAACAATGGCGTAAAATCATTGATGTATACTGGGTGTCAGAGGGATAGTGTAACAAACTTTGATGGTGCTGAAATAAAATTCGGAAGGGGTAATTTTGGCAAAAGTATTCAGGCAATTTTGAAAACTGTAGTTTCAAATCAGTGTAATATCATTATGGAGTAATTTGGGCATATAAAAGATTAGACAGAATGAAATATCCATTTTCAAAATTAGTTTGTTTCATAATATCGACGCTTTAGTATGAAAACATGCTATCTCAGATTTCGGTTGGAAAACATGCTATCTTAAATTTCAGTTGGAAAACATGCTATCTCAAATTAAGCTTGGAAAACGTGCTAACTCAGATCTTTAAGATCTTTAAGTTGGCATATTGCATGATTGAAACCGTGCATTTATAATAAACTTATATAATATATTTTTTAAAAAGTAAGGAATGTTTAGGTACACTTTTTTATTCAACATTTTTCAATTAATTTTGTTAAGTTACTGTTATAAACGACAAAATTGTTAATTAAAAAAAAAAGAATAATATGCAGTATACTGCAACACGTACGTTACTCGACGTTTTTTGAAATAACAAATTATAAAAAAATTGTGTATACCTCTATATACAACATGTCCCGCTGTAATATCCGGAAAAAAATAAAATTAAAGAAATTGATTATTGCATAAACTTTGCAAATATCAAATAAAGTGGTACATACAAATTAGCTGCCCGCATTGTTAAAAAAA